ATTTTTAATATTTTTTATCATAAAATAAATTTGATTTGTTTAGATGGATTGAAAAAATGATTTTTTGAAAATTTATGAAAATTATTATTAAATTATGAAAAAACAAATTTTTTGAAGAATTTTTAGTGAAGAATGAGCGAGGGTAGGATGTCAAAAATGAGCAAAGAAATATTGAAATGTTGAAAACGTAGGGTGGACCCTAGCAAAAAAACGTGTAAGGCGTTTGGGCGGTCAAAAAAAAGTGGGGCGCACATGGTTCTAACTAGGGAGGGGGGGGGGGCGATTTCGGCTGCAGGGTCTCCAAACAGAGCTGCGGCAGACACTTTTCCCTGGTCCCGCCGCGCCTCTTGGGGAGGCTGGGCCAAGCCCGCTCTGCACGTCTGCGACCTCTGTGACGGTTCACAAGAGCCAACATGCCCATGAAACATAATATGTTTATATATATATATGTACACCTATGTGTACGTAGATATGTATATGCATGCTACATGAATACATGTACGCGTGTTTGTGTGTATGTATACAGATGCATATATGGTTGCGCTCACCCCTTCCCCTCCACCCCCCCCCCGAATGGTATACTATACCCATTTGGTTATCCCCCCTCCCCCCGTGGAACGAGCTTGCGTGTGGAATGTTTGGGTGGTTTGGTTTTAGGCCTTCTTCCAATGGTCGTGCATGTGATCATCCCCCCCCTTCCCTGTGGAACAGGGTCTTGATCTTCGAAGGATTCGATCTTGCACGTGAGCATTCGACACTCTTACGACTTCGGGCTGAATTCTTCTTGGCATCCTGCTACGTCTTGCTGCGGAGCAAAAGACGACTTGATTTTCCCCCCACACAGGAACTGTTCCTCTCCTCAAGCGAAACAGGAACCTGCCTGGCGGGATGGGTAACGCCGGGGCCTGCGGCTTTGCTCTGGTTTGGATTGGTGCGCGCATGGCTCTGAAACTGCTGTCGGGGCCCACGGCTGTGCAACAGACAGCTGCGGGTACAACCGGAAGCTGTTGCAACGGCAGCTATGCAGCTATACGCTGTATTGCGTAGCTGACGTATGTAGATGCTATAGGCGAAGAACAGTATATACCATATTATATAATGTATGAAAACGTTGCTAAACCTTGAACTGGCGTCAGCCAGTGTTTGCTAAACCAGAAAATCGCCAGCCAGCGTTTGCTAAACCCGAACCGGCGACCAAACCAAGCCAACAAACACCACACAAAACTGTAAAGGTACATTGCCCTTGTCGTTGTCTTTGCTATCGGCGTTTGTGGTGTGCCGGCATCAACGGCTTTAACTTGGCTCCCAACGTCTGGCTCTCTGGGCTCGCTCCTGCCGTATTAGCCTGGTTCCAAACGCTGTGAGAGCAGCAAGAAGAAATATGCAGAGTGATTTCACTCAAAAGTCAGGGGAGGCAGGCCGAACCAGGAGCCTTCAGGGAACGAATTTTCTCACACGACTGCTTGTCTGCTTCACTTCGCTTGCTCTTTACACAGTTCTGCGACATCATGACATGCCTTGCAAGCCTTGCAAGCTGTTCTCACGATCCAATGTCGCCGCCTAGGCACAGCAGGCACAAGCGAGCCCAGAGAGGGGTTCCCTGGCAGACGCAAGCCAGACACGGTTGTGGGAAAGTCGGCTGCGTAAGCAAGAGCGACCAGCCAGTGCCAATGGAAGCGACAAGGGCTCCACAGTGCAGTTTACAAGGCGTGGAAACGCATTTCGAGCTGTTTCAGCGTTGCCGATGCCCCTGTCCGAACCCAAATGCATGCTCCAAGGCCTGCTAAACGCATTTGGCCTTTGTTTTGGGCTGCTCTACTCAAAGCTCACGCTCGATCCTTTCTCACTGTGGGTAGGAAAAGAGAGAAGTGGACCTAAGGAGATTCCTGCATGTTGGCACCGAAAATGCAACAATGTAGTAGTGAGATGCTCTTGTTTCGGACTTGTTAGAATGCCGTGCCTGCGGTGAGCGAGTGTGCGAGTCGAAACCCAAAAATCGCGCCGAAAATGCGTTAATTTGGCTTTCAAGTGGCTAAACCGGTTTCACAACGGAAGTGGCTCAACTTTTAAGTGCCTTGAACCTGCAGTAATGGGCCGACGGCCTGTCTGAGAGAAAAATAGAGTACCGGCTTTAGATGCATTCTTGAATGCTTTCAAGCCCTCAGTTTGAGGAGTTTATCCATTGGCAGGACACCACAACAAACCTGGTATTCTAGCACGTTTCTCTCCTATTTTTTTATCTCTGCGCTCACACTGTTTGGAAACTTCGCCGGAACTAATTTTGGGGATAGTGGTGGATTCCAGGCACAGGGAGCCAACTCACAGCTGCAGGCTTTGGATTTGCTGGAGGACTTCCGAAGAAGCCCTTCCGACATCCGGGACGCTGCGCAAGTGGTTCGAGACACTCTGCTGGGTCCTGTGGCTTGGACAGGAGCATTGTGACAGAAGTGTGAGCCTCCCTTTGTCGACTACCGAGGTGACCAGAAAGGAGGTGTCGACGTGCTGGAAGCATTTATTCGTTCCGAGGGGCCCAAGACGATCTTCCGACGTCAGAGTCCCGACAGCAGGAGCTTTAAATTTAGGGTTTAGGGCTTAATGGTGCAAATTGTATAAGGCAGCAGCTTGCAGAAGTAGACAAACTAGGCAGTAGCCTTACTGCAGCAACAGCAGCAGCATTAGCAGCCGCGGCAGCAACAGCAGCAACAGCAGTAGCAGCTGCGGCACTTTTCAGCAGACTCCTTCCCGCATGTGCTCACACTTCACGCGACATGATGCATGTGGTCGACCTGCCTAAGGAATGCCATGGGTGACAATTGGCAAGAGGACAGACAGAGTTGCGGTCCTTTCTTTCGGCCATGTGAGGGAGTGAGTGAGGGAGGGAGGGAGCGAGCGAGGAGTGAATGAGTGTCTGTGCACGGTTAGTAGCATCGTGTCTTGCCAAAGGATTTGCAGGGGGCCCGTGCATGATGTCGAACAATGAAAAATTTCAATCTAGTCTGATCTCTTCTCGCCAAATCCAAGTGAATCTGGCGGTACATACTGTCACGACATTTCATGTCATGCTGTATTCTGCTCTGGATGTGATAATTAGTATGCTCAGTCTTTGTTAGATTGTTTTAAGATCTGTCATGGTATGCCGTCTTGTGGTATCACTGTTAGCTTTTCTGTTTTGATCGGCTCTGTTGCATTTTAATCAGCTTGATTGCATGTACCCACAGGCACCGACATACATGTCATGTGTGATTGAGCTGCTTGTCCTGTAGCTGAAATGCACGAGCTAACGAGTTTGTCTGTATTTGGGCAGTACGCAAAAACCAACAAATTCGAGGAAGCGAGGAACGGCACCATGTCGCTCCTCAGTGAGCTGACCAAAGCAGGCATTTGGAATCCCCCAAAGTTCCTGAGAGCTTCAGCCTCTGCGTTCAGCTCAGAGGTGCAGCCTTTCGTTCCAGATGGTTTTCCCGAAACCTCCTTTCCGATTCAGGGCTTCGCGTCCGGAAGGGATTCTCTCCTTTGTCCGACTAAGAGGTAAAGAGATGTCTCCGGCAGGCCCTGCCTTGGAGCAGGAGTTCTTGCGGCTGAGCAAGGAGGCACCCCTGGGCTCAGCCTGGGCTCTCTTCTGCTTCAGCTTGAATGAATGCCCTTTCTGTGTCGTTGAAGAGAAAGGCCGACGAGCGGGAGATGGGATGCCAAGCTCTTGGCTGCGCTGATGATCACTTCTCGAACATGGGCACCAAGGCATCCGAAAGGAAAGCATCCCTTTTCTTTTTCTTAAGCAATCCGCGCACCAATTTTTTGGCTCCAGGCCGCCGACTTGAACCGGGACAAAGCCGTGGCAGCCCCGCCCGCACCGCCGGCCCCACCAGAGGCTCGGAGAGCTCGAAAGACGCACGCAACCGTTTGGGGTTGTCAATGCTTGTAACTCGGCTCTGGGGCCACTGGGACCAGTGAAGGCAGAGACAGAATCGCCTTCGTCCCTTTTTTGAGTAATTCGTGGAGCCTGGGTGCGGTTGATCGCGACTCCGAAACATGTAGGCCCTGGGCGTTTGTGTGGCTGGGACTATGGAGGTGCAGGAAGAAGATGCGGAGACCTTCCTTGGTATTTCGAAGCGGTCCCGAAAGCAGCGCCCGCGAGGCAGGTGGGTGCTGATGGCTGGTGAAAGATATTATGGGGCCGGTTTGAGCCAGGGACAAAGCCACAGCCGAAGCCGAGCTCGGTACTCCTTTTGAATCTTTGGCTTGAGTCTTGGAACGTCACGCCGCTCCACGCCGTTTACGCGTCCTTCCTCGCCTCTCAGGTCGGACAGAGCCGTGTTTAGTGTGTTCTCCTTCGGATGGCCCTCGGCGCTGGCCTGTGCTGCGGCGGTGGCACCGGTCCCGGCCTAAGAGCAGTCAGCGGCCCACCCAAGTGAGAGTGAGAGAGAGAGCTCTGTTTGAGGTTTGGGCAGCAGCTGTTCGAAGGTGGGTCGTAGACGAGTTTGTGTAGCGATGAATGAAAACTTCACCTTCGAGCCCTCAGAGCCCAAAAAAGCTGCTGCGAAGGTTTGGGGCCGCTGAAGGGAAAGGTACGGAAGCCGCTGGGATCCGCAGAGGCGCTTGGAGGACCTGGCTGACGCTGCTTTGCCCAGGCCAGAGACATCCTCTACCTCCATCCCTCTCAGTCAGAGATTTCCTCTCTTTGAGTCTTCGTTAGGTGTACGCACGTAGAACCTTCGGGAGGTACAGTGGAGGTCGCTAGAGACTCGGAAGACGGCGAGGCTTTGTCCGAGAAGCATCTCTTGCAACACTTGGCGCCCTGGCCGCGGAACACTGTGCTATCGGCTGCTATCAGACGCAGTCTGGTATTCACTCCGGGGTGTGAGTCAGGGAAAAGCCAGAAAATCTCTTGAGCAGCGAAACAGCAGAGGAGAGACTCAGAGAGCATCCACTCCTCAACTTCTGAAATGAAAACCTCCGGGGGCCAGTCCTATAAAGGCTAAGGCCGGCACACTGCTGAGAATCAAGGGCTTCGGTCTCAAAAGGCCCCTTTGCCGCCTGTGTTTCTGGGGCTTCTACCAGATGCTCTCATGGTTGAGAGAGGTGAGATGACTGCGCCCTTCGAGCTCAAGCACAGAAGAGAGTCGAAGAGACCTCAGACGTGCAGAACCTCACGACCTTACAGAGCATCGTTGCTAAACTTACAAGAGAATGAACCTCGCAGTCACGTACAAAGGTGCAGCATTTTGAAAGGCAGCTTCACATGATGTCAGTGTCACTCGCAAAAGAACTCAGAACATCACCACTGGCAGAGTTGCCGAGATACCCCAAAACCTTCCGAGATGCCAGGATTGTTGATTTCTGGCCAAGGTGTGTCCGCCTCGCGCTCCTGACTGTGACTGGTGCATTTCGCTGGACTGGTGCTTTCTTGTCGCTCTTTGGAAAGACGGCAGGTGCGAATCGCTGTGATGTAGAGGGAGAATGCAGAGACAGAGCGGTTTCGGAAGAGGCGGCTCTGGACCGGGACTTTCACGGCGCCCCAGGCCTTGCCAGATGTCGAGGAGCGGTGGAAAGCCTGAGAGCAGAGTCTCCCAGGGAGGACCTTTGGAATAGAACCCCCCAAGGCCCAAAAGCAAGGCAGCAGCTCAAGCTGCGGCCGAGAGGGGAGGGAAAGGGGAGGGGCAGAGGGAGAGCTAGGACGTTTGGGGAGGGGATGCGAGGGCTGGGTTCAGGCTTCGCAGGGTTTGTAGTCTGATAGGGCGTATTGCCACTTGAGGGCCCTGCCCTGCGCATCAACCCCTTGAAATCTCAGAGAGGAGCCGCTGGGCGGGTTGGGGCCCTGTGATGTCTAGTGAGTCTAGTGGTTTCTGTGGGCAAAACGCATCAGCCCAGACTTGGACACTGCGGCATCGCGCGCGCGCGCAGAGGGGGCATGCTGCTCCTATGTCCTATGAGTCTGAAGAAGAAGAAGAAGGAGCGACAGCGAGCGAGGGAGGAGCTTGCTTTTTGTCAGCAGGAGCGCGATGGAGGTGCAAGTGCAATCCTCATTTAAAATCTCCCAAAAAAACATCACCGAAGGACCGAAGAGTGTTTTGCATGGAGCCCTGGAGCCAAGGCCCGAGCTGTTTCGAAGGCAAGGAGATCCAGCCTCAGTGTCAGAAAAAGGCAAAGGCCAAAAGCCTGCGGGGAATGCAGAGACAGTCTACCGACTACAGACTTCCGCAGGCGTCGCTGGCGGAAATGGCCAGAGCGACGGTTTCTGCGACGGCAGTACGTGGCACATTGCTGCTGCCGCTGCCCGCTTTGCTGCGTCCTGGTCCACTTGACCCGTCGGAGCTTCCGGGGAAGCTGCAACCATCCGCAGCCTCTTCCACATTTTTTCTGTGCGATTCCTGACATTTGTGGAGGAGCTTTTGCCACGGGGCGGCCTCTTGCGCGTCGTCTTGGGCGTGTCTGTCACGACAGAGAAGGCACTGCCGAGCACACTGCCTTAAGAGCCATGTGAGCAGAGGAGAGTCACTGAGTTACCGTCGAGGACACGACGGAGCTTCGAGCCAGCCTCGGCTTTGCAGGAGCCGCAGAGTCGCACAAAACAAAAGAGAGCTCGCATAAAAAAAGCTCGTCAGATCTCGGGAGGTCCTGATGGCCGCTGGCTCGACGGGCGCACCGCCATGCTGCTACTCACGGGCCTCGCAGTGCAATCAAAATGGCGCTGCCTACAGATCCCTATACTGTAGACCCCGTGTGCGACATCAGATGCCAGAGAATTTGCGATAGGTCTGGGATCAGATGACGGGTTTCGGAGCGGACAGGTCAGCAGCGAGCGACAGCGACTGGAGAAAGAGCTGGAGCTAGCAAGCGCCCGAGGAGGCCTTCTCAAGTTGAGACATGGGAGAGAACTGCTTTCGCAAGGTTCAGCACAATCTTCGCCAGCATACGGAGCTTGCAGACGAGGCGGACACGGCGCACGCTCACACCACGCTTAAAGCACTTTCCCAAGTGCTCGTCGCCCCTGAGCCCTGCCAGGCTCACAGCGAGATCGAGCGAACTTGTGGCGGCATGAAGGCCTTTCCGCAGTTTGGGGTACCAAAAGAGGGTTTTCCCAGTGCGAGTGAGCGGAGGCCTCGGTGCAGCATCACATGGCAACCTCCCTGCGACTCCAAGAGCGGCTCTCAGAAGCTGCAAAAATTTCCCAGGAGACGATAGCAATGATACCAATGGCTGCCAATGGCCAAGGAACCCTTGGATGATGCCGCGTATTGAGGAAGCTCAGCTTCAGCCTCACAACATTTTACAAGCTCCGTTTTCTGATCATCCCTACGAAGCCAAGATGATGTCGATGTCGGTGGCTATGGGCAGGTGTTTCACTTCCTAGAGAGACGTGTGAGACGTCGGCTAATGATCTGGAAAAGCTTCGGCGCAGTTGTGCTCTATTCCAAGAGCTACTGCGGTACGAGGCCTGCGACTGCAAAATCAACTTGAAGACGTCCTTGGTGTCTTTTGTTTTATTTTTCCTGTTTATCTCCGTGGGTTATCATAATAACTAAAAATATCTGAAGAAAGTACTGTTATGATAAACATATTGACATCAATAGTAACAGCAATACTTCGCTATCGCCCCTCCTCCTCCTGCTGCTGCTGGTACTGCCACTGCTGCTACTACCGCTGTCACTGCTACTGATACTACTACTTCTGCTGCTTCAACCGTGGCTGCAACTGCACCAACCCGGAACCCTAAACACAGTTCTGTGGGTGGGCGGCCCCTTACGCTCCTCGCGACCGATCGCGAAAGGCCGACCAGTACGCCAGCCCACCTCTCCACAGCCATGCTGACAGTACCGGGTAGATCCAATGCTTGTAAACTTTTACTGGACAAACCAATTTGTAAGACACTTGCCCAGTAAATGTTCTTGCTGGGCGAAATTTGGTACGTAAGATTTGCTCTACCAGCAAGCCGTGCATGTATACATTATGGTTTTGGCCAAAACCAAAATGTATACATGGAAAACTGAATGGTTTCGGTTGATTTTGGCTCTATAGTATCATTGAATTTTGGAAACTAAACATTGATTACACTTCATTTCGGCATAGGTTGTTTACTTTTTGCAAAAAACTGAATGGTTTTGCTTGATTTTGGCTGTAAAATCGTTGAACTCTAAAACAAAAGCATTGCTTCTACGTTTCATTTCGCAATAGAGTCTTGCCTCTTGGTGGATAATTGCATGGTTTCGTTGAATTCTGGCTCTGCAACCATTGAATTATGGAAACAAAACATTGGTCAGACTTCATTTTGGCATAAAACTTTTGTTGTTGTAAGACACTGAATGGTTTCGATTGATTTTGGCTCTAAAACCATTGAATTTCCACCACAAAAACATTGATTCTATAGTTCATTTCGCAATAGAAAGTCTTGCATTTTGAAGAAAACTGAATGGTTTCGGTTGATTTCGGCCCTTGCCCCGCGACTCGACCGAACTGCTGCGAGCGCCCGCCGTCGCCAAAGCAGTTCGCCTGCGCTATGCTGCTGCGTTGTACCGGGCACGCCAGCTAGGCCTAACCGCGTCCTGCCGTTTGACCCAAATTGGGATTACTTTCAGGTCGCATCCGAGTGACGCTTCCTTCATGCCTGCTGCTGATGCTACTGCTGCTGCTGCTGCTGCTGCTGCTGCTGCTGCTGCTACTTACTACTACTACTACTACTACTACTACTACTCCTGCTGCTGCTGCTGCTACTACTACTACTACTACCACCACTACCA